GGAATTTTAGTGTTATTAATGTGTTGCTGTTGGTTTAAGATGTACAACAACATTGTTTGTGCTGTACTGTTGTTCTGTGTGGGGCTGTTGGGTCAGTGGTGCAGTGTTAGTGTGTACCATCAGGAGAAAGTGTATCACTAGAAGTGACCCGCCTGCGGTTCTTCTTTGCTGCCTCTGCCTTTTCAACAAAAGAGCATCTGCCTTTAAAGCACAGTGTTTCCCGTGTCTTCTTACACAATATGACACATTTCACAATATTACACAATATGCCCAAAGAGATTAGCAGTGCTTTGTTGGGAGCATCTCTGACGCTGTGATGATGCTTGTGTCGTTGACAGGTCAGAGTTTTTCAGAGACATAATCTCCACAGCTGGTTGGAATGCCCAGGGGCATGACCCATGGCAGTGGAGCTTGTGGAATCTGAGCTGAACAACTGTCTCTATTTCCAAGTCAAGACTTGATGAAAGATTCTTGAAGAATGGCCACACAAAATGTAAAATAATTACTATCCACAGCGACAGAGAGGGCACTTGTACAGTCTGAGAGCAAAAGGGCGGGGCTCAAGCACCCCCTAGGGGCAATCTATGCATGAAAAATGAAAGATGTGCAATAAAAAAAATACACATCACCTTTTCACCACTTTTATTTATTGTATTTGTATTAACATTCTTACAGAATACTTTGTTTGGTTCTGTGGTGAGTTTAGCTGTTGGTAGGGAATCTGCTTAGCTAAAACCAGTGACTGACTGAGCTGAGTTTGTCTCTATGGGGTGGGTAATGGAAGGTTCATTCTAATGGGTCCATTCCAATTCAACATTTTAAACTCAGGGTGAAAATGATTGGAAACTCATATAAACAGACAAAATAATAATAAGTAAACTAACATTCAGCGTTATCCTTCAGTTGCTGTTGATTTCAAGTATTGCAAACAGCTGAAAGTAAATATCGAAGTCAATCTGGATATTAAATAATTTCTACTTATCTTTGCTCTGGAAAGATAATTCTAAGGCTTGTTGTGTTGGTTCAACTCATTGTGGATTTAAGTGGACAGAAAATCAATACAAAGTATGGCCTACTTGTGCTAATCATATACAGGGTGTCCCAAAAAATTGACATCATTTCGTAGTCAAGTTTAACTTTTAATGTTTTATTTTCAGGTTGAAAAATGGTGTTAACTAGAAATGAAAAGGCATTTTGTGCGTTAAAATATGCTCGAACACAGTCAAACAAGAGTGTACAGCGTGCATTTTCCAGAAAATTCAATAAAAATGCACCAACTGAAGAGCAGATTTGGACACGGCACAAAAAATTCAAAAAGGAAGGCTGTCTGTGCAGGGCAAAGGGATCTGGACAACCACCAGTATCGGAAGATATTACATTTGTGAAGCTTTGTGAAATCGGTTATAAAATCTACATCCCTCTGAATTTTTTGTTCAAATTTGGGCAAATAAATCTTGTATTGTTCAACATGAAGCCTATTTAATTTCATTTGCCAGGACGTGTAGTTACTCAGATATTCACATCTCAAATGATGTCAATTTTTTTGGGACACCCTGTATTTCTGACAGCTGTCTTAGAGTGAATCACCCTGACCAGCGCTCAAAAAAATAATGGTTAACTCTTCTTAAGTGCAGAGTGCAGAGAGTACATTTTTCATGTGAAAACACAGACTTTCTCAGTACATCCAGAAAAAGCGGGGGGCTATGTAGCAGCGTAGTTTTGTACATCACAAATGAGCTTGACCCTGTTACTGTCCAGTATACAAAAATACCACGAGAGCATGAGGGAAACATCCAAGCCCAACACACTGATAAGAGCTGTGGGAAGCGGCATAAGCCCACGCTACCAATGCCAAACTAGTGTCAGTTGCTTGTGCTGCCCTTAATGAGAGCAGCTGATGTATTGTAAGTGTTACTTAGGGTCCAAAGTAAAGGAAAGAAGGGATAATTCTTTTATAACAGTGCCTTAACAAGCTTTTATGTAAATTTTATATTAGTGGTGGGTGATATGTCAAACATATAAACGATATGCATCACAATGTTTAGTTTTTTTGAGGCTGGAATAGTAGAAATTAACCAGCAGGGCCATATTTAAAGTGCACCATCAAAGAGTATGAATATATTGAATACAGTGATTTAAGGTATCACACATGGCACAGCACTAAAACCAGGTGCACAGGCCTAATTATGCTCTGTTTATAATGAAATATACAGTTGGTAAGTACTGACAATAACCACAATACTGTAATGTGACATAATTTAGGTCATAGTCTGACTACAGAAGCACATGCAAAATTGAACTGAGTGGAGTCATTTGTCTTGAATTTATCAACATCAAAAATACTACAGAATATTCACTGCTTCCTCTAGTACACTCACTGTACCTTCATATACTGTATGTTATTCTCTGCAGAGTGAACAGAATAGTGTTACTGCCCTCTTGTGACCAAAAGCCAAAAGACCAAGAACAAGCAAATGTAATATCAGTGTATCATACATCACAAGTGCAGCCAAGGTTTGATACACACATGTTCTTTCTACCTGCAAAATAAGAGTAAAAAAACAGTTCAACTTAATGAAAACTACAGAAGGATATGATGTGTATGATTATACAATGTTCAGTACAATGAGGGCGAACAAGTATTAGAGTAATTCTGTTATTTCATATACATCCACTGCCAGGGTCGAGGTGGGACATGTTTTCAGACCAGAGTTACACAATGCAGTCCAGCTCACCCCAAACTCTACGTACACTAAGGCTACAATTCTCATAGATATAACTTCAAAAAGGGCAAATGTCTAGCACTGGCATTACATCAGGCTATAGTAGGGTTTCAGTCACATGATTTTTCTGTTGTGGCCGCCATATTTGGGACCGAATTTCTGGGTTTGCTGCTCCACACCCACGTAACTAGAGGTGAAAGATGGCTAAAATTACTCATCTTACTTTAGAAGAGAAAATAAAGTTAAAGTTTGGAAAAGTCAATAAAATAGGCTGCGATCCTTCTACAGTTTCCCCCTGAACTCCTGGTCCCACTTAAACTGGCGGAAAGCCACCAAATTTGTGTTTTCCTGACATTTCTGTTTATCTCATACACAACTCCTCTCCCTATTCTGGGGAGTCTTTTAAAGCATTTAAAAGCACAGAAGCCCATCGGCTCTTCACGTCAGAGTAGGTAAAGGATCCCATGGTGTTGCATAAAGAGAAGAAAACACTCAGCTAATTAACACAGATGTGAACAATGCTAGCCTTCAGATAACTTTTGCTAATGTTAACAGCCATTTTTAGAGAGATAAACAGCTGTCCCCCTAACAGAACTGCAAACAGCTGGTATGACTTAACTTCTCTGTTTCTGGAGATTTAAATGATGTTTGAATGGACAAACATAAGCGTTAAATATAAGACTGAATCATGCGGAACGCTAGAATAGGCTATTCCTAACGGCAGAGCAGTCATCAACCTACATATTCCAACACTTCCACCCTAATACAAGTCAACAGCGATCAACTGGAAAGCTGGATTCACTTAAACATAACCAACACTGCAGTATTCTTCACTATAAGGCATGTGTCCACTCAACACAGACACAACTTCTGCCCAGAGGAGACGACAAAACTATTTATTATCGTAGATAAAAGCGCATTGCCGCAGCAGGTATAAAACAAGTATGTGGTCCATTTATGTCTTACCTGCAGCGTTAGATGTTTTCTTTGATATTTGCACAGAGCCCATGCCGGCATTTGTAGTATCAGAGCATTGTAAGAACAAAATTTGTTTATGGCTTTGGATGGGTAGAAAATGACATACTTAAGGGACAGATATGCTTTTAAATGTCCCCAGTAAATATACATCTTTTAATGCAACTAGAACTTCAAATTCAAGCACTGGCACTTGATAACAAACTGAAGACTTGATGCAAATGTGATCAACTCTATAGAGCACTGTCTGTTGTGTCAGCCAGAACCAGATTGGATGATATTGTGGCCGGATTTACACAGTCGTGGTGAATTTAATCTAATCTCTCAAGGCTAATGTTAGCTTCCTATTCAAATTTCCATTCCAACTTAAATAGTGCAGCACTTGCATGCTACCGCCCACCCAGGCATCTGAACTGCTAAATCATTTAAGGTGCAATGGGCAAATCCATTGTTGTCAACTGCAGCTTCATGAAGTCTACAGTATGATGCCATTAGCTTTTTATTGCATTGTGGTTCATTTTTGGCCCATTTCTCTTGGAAAACCAAATGGATTTACAATTTTAAAATTCATTAAATTCATTCATTAAATTGTCAGTGAGATTCAAGTCAGGGGGTTTGGTAGGCCACAAGCACCTTTACCTTCAAAATAAACCTGTCTTGAGTTATTTTGGATGTATGTTTGGGGTCATTGTCTTGTTGAAATGTCCATATTTTACCCATTTCTTGGCTGATGATATTAAATTCTCCTCTGTCTCCCGGTTCAGTGCTCCGTTCGTGTTTTCACTGATAATGTGTAATGCCCTACTGTTGTTTGCAGAAAAGCAACCAGGTGAAAATGTACCAAAAGTCAGAAGCAAAAGAGCGATTCCATAAGTAAAAACTCTACAAATAGAAAAAAAAATAAAAGAAAGAATGGCAAAAAGAGGAATGTATTTATATCAAAAAGAATGAAAATGAGCAGTATTATTTTTAGAAAATTATGTTTAAGTTTATTGTCATTATTTGTATTTGCAACATGTTGGACATTTTCACAATTAACATTTTGCTTCTGGATTTTATTAATTTATTTAAGACGGTTGAAACAAAATGAACTTCTTTTAAGTACGTGTATCTCCCCCTGGTGGCAGACCACCAGGGCTGCAGAAGAAGAGTGACTAACTAGCAGAATAAAAATACAAAGTGCTGAGTGCATGTGAACGAAAGGTGTATTTATTTTGTACACATCTGGAACACCTGCATGTACCTTTACAAATACATCAGAAGTGAAAGGACTATTAACTGGACTGTTATGTACAGATGCCTTTAATCCTTTGTGGTAAAAACTATGTGTGAGTATATAACCTCTTCTGTCTGGTTTCTCTCTTTTGGTGCTCCCTTTCCTTTCTTGACGGTGGCGTACACTACGGTATCAGGTGAAATCCCTTAGAAAGGAAAAATGAGACATGTTTAAGTGGCATCATCACATGTAACTTACTTTCAGAATTCAGTTCATGCTGATTCTTACCTTCCTCTTCTCTGGCTCTGCTGCTTTGTTCTTGATAAAGGACAGTGTTATATATTGAGTTATTAAGTGTATTTTCTAATGAAGAAAAATTACACAAAGAGAAGTTAGTGTTAAAAGATTTAGAGTCACAAGACGTAGCCTGCGTTAAACAGGCTTAATAAAAGTTAATCTGCTGATCTCCAACTGGCTGCAAACAAAAAGGGCACACATTAAAGTCTCCACATCATGGAAGTTTCAAATAGAGGCATCACAAAAACCAGTCCAATGCATTTGCATATATCCACCTCTTGAAGCTACAGCATTTTATTTTATTTCTGCCCATTTATGTTGAAATTGGAACAGAGGTACAGAGGTTATTCACATATTTAAATTTTAAAGAAACAGTAAAAAAAAACACCTGTTGAAAAAAGATGTTTTTTCAGGGCTCTTTAGTAAAAGCAGTAGTGTATATAGAACCGTGAACACTCACAGAGCCATTTGCATGCTTAAATGATGGAGAATGTATTGTATATGGCTCTATGTAATACTTTTTTGAAAAGTGTTCTACATAGCACCAAAAAGGGTTCTGCTGTTGTCAACAGAAGAACTCTTACTTGCTATATAGAACCATATACAACACATTCTCCATCAGTCTAAAGGCATGTACATAAGTACACACAAGGAACACTGTCATGGCTAAACCAGACAAAAAACTTTAATTACTAGAATGAAATTGGCATTATTACATTTCTAATTTAGACAGAGGGTAAGAATTTTCAATTAATTGATCATTTGTTTTATGTGTATTTACAGAAAATGCTGGAATTCCTACTTTACACTGCAGCCCTAATACGCGCACTAATCCATTTCCATGTTATTTGTCAATACAGCTTGAATAGAAACCTAATGTGTTCAGTTGTAAGCGAGTTTCCAAAGTCAAATGTAAAGTTTGAACACCCACAAACTCAAAATTACATGTTTTGTTGATTTTCTAAGTGATACGTTAACACATCCTCTTTAGGGAACAAACTTAAATATGGCATTTTCTGCAAATTTCAGTGCACAGTTTCTGTTTATATGTTGTTCATTGGAAAAAATATAAAATGTGTTTTACACAGGCCACATTTTATGCTTTAATTTTTACAGTAAGTTAAATTCAACTAATAAATAGTAACTGTGCATTTAAATATGCAGAATTGTGTTCTTTGTAGAGGATGTATTAACTCAAAATCAGCAAAACTAGGAGTGCTCAAAGTTTCTTTTTTGAGTACAATCACATTACAAATGTTAAAGTATGTCCTGGAGGATATTTTATTTCTAGGAATGCATCTGTTTTTGTTCTTCAGTACTCAGTGTGTGACTGATGCATGTAAGTAACACATTAAATAAAACAGAACTACACTTAAACTTATACACAGACTACCTGGTCAGAACATCCACTTTCAGAGATACCTACAGATTTGTAAATGTAAACAAATAAATGAATGCATAAGAAATAAATAACTGTTATTAGTGGATGGACAGTTGACTGAAAATATTACTAAAAATACTCAACCTGTCAATTAGCTGATTTGGGAACAATCAAGATTAATCAAGATTCCCTGTTTAAATTTTATTAGTCCTCCTCAAAAGCATTGCTGTTCATAAGCATCTCAGTGATTAAAATAAATAATTTTTCTGTAATGAAACAGTGAGTGGACTGTACAGTTGTAAATGCCACAATTACTATTCATATTCTTTCTATTTGTTAAGGAAATCAAATATAAAATAACTATGCATAAACATTTGCAGAAAACTGTTATTTTCTAAATAACAGGTTGTGTTTACTTCTTTTTACTTCAATAATCAACAAAATATATAATTTTGCCAGGGGTGCCCAAACATATGCATACAACTGTATATCAGTAAAAACTGAAATTCATAAGTAAAATCTGTTTACTTAGATTTAGGTGGGCTTATTTGGGGTTTTCCCCTGCTATTTACTTACACACTCACTATTAATTATTTTACTATTAAATATTAATATTAAATTTTGTTGTGGTGTTTGAGTTCAGTCTGGTGAATTAATGGTCTTAGGTGTCTCAGTCTTTTGTCTTTGCTGTTTCTCTTTTTCCCATGAGAACACAGTCATGTAGCTGAAGCACGTCTTAAACCAGATGCAGTAACCACATCTCTGCAAAAACTGCAACAGAGCTTTCATGCATGAGGGTCAGTTTTAGGGATGGAGTGTCTGCTTTGCCTCTTGCCTGTAGAACAAGGGCCGTTGATCTTATCTGCAGAGGGCTGGTGTGGTTAAAGGTCTTCATTCCAGTAAAGCAGAAGCACCCCTTCACTTGTTTAATCAGTTGTTCTCTCTCTTCTGACAACTGATTAGTTATATAAGGTATATGAGGTAATTGTTTTAGGATAGTTTGGAGATTTTGGCCTAAAATGTATATAGGCTATATTTGTGTTGTAGACACTGTGACCCCTGGTTCCTGTCACCACCACTGTAAAGAAATCTGAGTTGGTAAGTTTCTCTACAGTGAACCATTTCACATCAAACCACTCTGACTTACTTTGTTATCTCAACCATTGAAATATGCAGATATTTAGAAAGAAATCCCCTTCAAGAAGACCGATAAACTGGTATATCGCCCACTAATAGTATACAGTGTAAGTAAATAGTACAAGTACTTGTTTACAGTACATAGTACACAGAGTAAGTATACAGTGCAGGGTCTGTAACTGGACAGTAACACAGTTTTTGCTGTTTTGGCAGTGTGGATTTGAAACAATGACTGTGATTAACATGCAGAATGTTTGCTTTCGGACTGATTGCAGGTGAAAGTTCACAGATGACGTTGCTGTGGGATTACGAGAGAGTGACCAGAAGCATGTTTAACTTGAATCTGTTTAATCTGTGTTACACTCTCCCCTGTTTTAGGTTGACTGTTCTGTCTTTGAGGCTGACCAGTGATGTTCTACTTCTGGTCTTCTTTTAATGTGACCTTTAACACACCTGTGTGTAGATCGTATAACCTGTTTAACAGTTTTTCTGCATATTTTAAAGTTCTGTTTAACAGTTTTTCTGCATATTTTAAAATTCTGTTTAACAGTTTTTCTGCATATTTTGAAATTCTGTTTAACAGTTTTTCTGCATATTTTAAAATTCTGTTTAACAGTTTTTCTGCATATTTTGAAATTCTGTTTAACAGTTTTTCTGCATATTTTAAAATTCTGTTTAACAGTTTTTCTGCATATTTTGAAATTCTGTTTAACAGTTTTTCTGCATATTTTGAAATTCTGTTTAACAGTTTTTCTGCATGTTTTAAAGGTCTGTTTAACAGTTTTTCTCCTATCATCGACTGCCATGGTCTGCCAAATGAACACCAGTGCAACCTTGCTTCTGTGTATGTGTTTTATTTTATTTTATTTTGTTCTTTTATTTAATATTTCTTTCAGCAAATGCATTGCATTGTTCTTTTATCAATCAAGTTTTAGAAATTTTAAATTTTTGCATGCAAAGGCTCGAATAGACGTATCGTCAAATGCTGATGAATTTGTATTTATTTGCTGAATTTAACATACTGAAAAAATAAAATGATAAATCTACAATTTGCCATAACTTTTGCACAGGCCGCATTTTAGGTTTTATTTTTTCTTCAATATGTTTAATTCCATAAATAAACAGTAACCGTGCATTGAAAGTGCAGAAGTGTGTTCTCTGTAGAGGATGTGTTCACTTATTTTCACTTAGAAAATCAACAAAGCGTGACCAAACCTTTGCATATGACTGTATAAGAAACAGAGATGCAGCATGGGTACTTACAGCATGAATATATTACTATAGATATTAATCCACTCAGAGTCTACATTCTGCGCTTCATACTTATAGACACGGTTTCATTTCAAACTGTGTGTGCTGAAGTACTGAGCCACAGAAACTGCTACTGTTCAGTCACTTACGCTCTGCAGAGTGCAACGGCTCAGAAGGATGCAACTTACTGCAGACTGTCTTGTCGCTAGAATTTCTGCTACCTGCAAAAATGAAAAAAAGGAAATAGTGAAGAGCATCATAAATACTGCTACTACTACTATTAATAACAATAATAATAGTAATCCACACAGTTCCTATCTCAGTTTCAACAGTCCTATGTGGACATTTCTGTGTATCTGGACAGTATGCATGTGTTTGTTCAAAAAACACTCAAATTAATATAAAGACATAAACAATCTATTGTCATTCGATGTCTTTCATTGTGTTAGTATAACTATTTACAAATATCGTCTTGAGGAAGCCAGTATTCACAATTAACATCTAATACCTACTTCATCTAATCAGTCCTTCGTTACAGTAAATCATCATTTATCTAATCAGTTCTTCATTACACTTTAATTAAAATGCACTGACTGGAGTGCAGCGTGGAAGTCAGGAACCAAACCTTAAAAACTTATTCAACTAAAAAAATAATCTGTGTCTTGCATTATGTTCATTTTTTTGTGTGAGGTTCAATAGTCAACATTTTTAGGCAACCAGGTTGCTTACTTTTATAAGTTAAAATGTTGAATAATTTTTTAGCCAACTTTTTTTTTAGCTTGTAATGTTCACTGCATTTATGTTTATTTGTATTTATTCTAATGTTAAATGGTGCTTTTACTGGCAAAAACAAACTTATTCCCAAAATAACTACTTTTAAACATTGTTCATAGGTGCTGAAAACTTCTGCACTGTATATATTCAATACATTGCATTTTTTTTAAATTTAGAAGCATATTTATTTTATTAGGGGAAAACAGACAGATGTTTTTTTTTCCACAAGCTTAGTCAGTACATTACTAAATAACTCTTCATTGTGAATGCTTAAGGTTTAAGAAACCTACTGCCCTGAACAGAGGTGGGTAGTGTTTAGTTGCACTTACTAATTTATATGCATTCAAGTAAAATTCTAATGAATTTGTATTTTTGTGAATATTTTCAAATGATACTTTTACTTCTGCTCAAGTATATCCATGAGGATTGTAATCTACCATTCACTGAGTTACATTTTAGTCATAAAAATTTAGCTACTGATTCCTTTATTTGTGTTTAATTTCATGCTGTTATGATGGTGACAGCTTTTGCTTAAATAATGTAAACGTTTAAAAAAATTATATATATATATATGTATAATCGCAGCAATGTGCAATCTTAGCACAGCACCATAAAATCTAAAAAAAAAAGCACCATAAAATCGAATTTTTCTCTAAAAACATCCTTTTATTGAAAACAAGACCAAACAATTCCAACTTATACTTAGTAAAATGTACAAACTAATGTTTACAAATATTGGAAATTAATACAATTTCAATTGGAATTTGAAATGTATAGTAATAATGACATCGTAATAAGAATTTTTGGTCATAATGTGTGATGTCATAAAGTATTTGTCCTTTTAAAGTAAAAGACCCTTTTTCCACAGTAAAATAGGAAAACAGATTTTATATTACTACTTTTTAGCAAAATTGAGAGAAAGTAATTGTTGTTCAAACTATGAAACTCCGCTTTTATATGGCGGACCCAGAACTACCCTTGTGAATAAGAAGCATACTTTAGTATGTCTACAGTATAAGTGAAGTACATTGTATTTACTATATAATATACTGTATTTTAAATTATGCTTTATTATGTTTAGTGGAAATACACCTGAATAAAAGTATTTCTTTACATACTGAAGCATCAACTTAAGTGCAGTATTTAGAAATATGTTTTAAAGCAGGGAATTTGCTTTAGCACATTTTTGTTGCATTTTTGTTGCTATACAGCTAAACCTAGCGATCAAATATGGGTGTCAGTACACACCAGAGTATAGATTTTAAAATGTTTTAAATGTAGTAGAGCTTAAGTTAACTTCATTACAACATAAGTTGTTCCAGTTTAGAACAGAAAAGCACTTGTAGGCATAGAAGATGGATTTCACCATTACTTAAATATAATTTAAGTCCATATAAGCTGTGTTTAGTTAGTCCTAATAGAATATTTAAGTATATACTTATGTTTACTTTCAATGCATTTTAGTTACAGTATAACTCAATAAATAACGTGTAAATTGAAGTCTATATGTACATCCTGTTGTGTATTTATAATATGTTCTAAGTGTAATAACAGTTATGTCTATTGATTACATAGTTAAATCCCATTTAAACTTAAGTTGTTCAAAAAAAGCACTTAAATGCATTTAATACGTATTTAAGTAATTAATACGTATGCAAGTAATTTAAGATACTTGTGTTTTTCACTTTTAGTCACAAGCCATTTTGGACAATTCAAAAGAGAACATGAACTTCTCCATACAGCTTCTAAGAAATGAGTGCACATGCGTGCTTGTAAAAAAATGACGGACTTACGTTTTGCACAGAAGTAACTGATTATAAGTAGACCAAGAAGAATAATGCCCCCTCCTAATGCTCCGGCTGTGATGGGCAAGCTCAGAAAACCCTCAGAAACAGCTCCTATAGATTCTGGAATAAGGGTATAATATTTCACGCTGTATAGTACAAGCAGGATTTTTACAACAGAAACCTAACATCTAAAATGTTCCTTGCTGTTTTAATTCTAATGCCAGATCTAATCTCAACACATGAGATAATGTATACTGAATGTTTATGTTCTAACTTATTCTAAAACTTCATCTGGATTACTAAATTACTGGGATTCATCAAAAATATTATTTCGAGAAATTTTCATGACAAAGTCAACAAGTTGAATGCTATGGCTTTGTTTAAATAGGTAATGCTAATATTGATACCATACTACTACTATTATTCCTAAAAATGATGATAATAATAATAACCATAATAATACCATTAAATCAATATTCATATCAATATGCAGTTAATGTAACCACGGTGACTTTAAAATTCATAAATCAAATTCATATTTCAAAGGACGTGGAATCATTAAGGTGTAAGATGTTATTTGTTTTCATTTAAATATATTGTTGTCTAAAGCAAACCATGTATCTCCATTTTTGTTTTTTATTTTTCTAATCATTTCAACACACCAGCTGTCCTTTACATTGTGTGAAAATGTCATGATTAATGGACCAATAGAAATGCTCTAAAATCACTTGGAACAAAATCTCTTTACATAAATTTACATTGAAAGGTAAGAGTGTTTTCTCCTGTAAAGTTACTTTTTTGGAGATACCTGTTTTTCTTTAGTATATTTAGTTTAATTGTCTGATATCACAGTTGATTAACAACAGTTGTTGAAAAATGCATAAGCTAAGAATGATTAGATATATAATACATTCTGTGAAACTCATATGCGATTGATGCAAGATTTGCTGGGATGGGGGGCATCTGGAACCCAGTTGTGTGGCAAGATGACAATTTTATTTTTGTGCTGTAATTACAAGGTCAACTTTTGTTCCAGTGCTGTTTCACACTCTAACTGTGTGTATCATCATCATCATCCTATACATTCTAAACTTCAGCACAGATGTGATTTATCTTTACAGTACATAGACATTAATCTTAAGGGGAACATTTTCTCCTTTCCTTTTAAGGCAACTGAACAGTAGTGTTCAGACTTACTCAGATTAATCTCCTGATAAGCGATCATGCAGTTGATTCCCTCATGCAGCTCACAGCGGTAGAGATCCAGATCAGACTGCTGTACATTACGGAGGAGGATGGAGAAGTTTCCAGATTCTGAGAGTTTGGGGAACGTCTTAATACGTCCACCTCTGTTATTCCAGAACATTACTTCACCCTGCAGACTGATCTCCACTAGATTATCTGCTGGTATAGTCCTCTGACTCCACACTGCTGCTATATCTGCAGTCTGGTTTGATCCAAGGAGGGTCGCTTCAAAGTTACACGGCAGAAGAACATCAGACTGCAGCTCAGTGGTTACATTGATGCTGCTGATAAGTTTGTTTTTGCATTTACTTTCAACTGCAATTGAAGATTGAAGGTAGAGAATGAGAAAAAACATTACAGTAGAACATGTGAAACATGGCTTCTTTTACTAAAATCAATCTGCTTTAGAATCAGATTCAAGAACAGAACCACAATTAACATAAATATGTTTAGAATGTGTTACAGGAATACACACTGTTCTTAAATGCAGCTCAAATTTAATAAGACAGCCACTTACCTGTGAAACAGGGTAAAAGTGGGAGCATGCACACAGTAATGAACATGATACGGTTCAAAGCCATTTTACATCTGCGACTTCCAGACTACTGCAAGTGTCTCTTGGAAAGTAATGACAACCACGTGATGCAGTTCTTTTGCTCTCAGTCACTTCCTGAAATTGTCTGAAGCAGATGTGACAACTACTATTACGCAATACCTTTTTAATGCAAAGACACTTGACATACACTAATATATTCACTGCTGTAGGTGAGAACAATTAATGACAAAAGCATGAAAAATGCGATCTGCTTCAATAACATAGTACATTCTATGCAGCGAAGATAAATAATAAATGAAATAACTACTTACAGACAAAAACTTTCTTTTAGAATGAAGACCTTAAAGTCGCAACATCAGAAAACAGCTACTTTCATGTTTTATCAGTTGGAACTTAGTTAATGATGTTCTTTTCCAATCACAGCACAAGCTTCTATTGTTTTTTTGCATTTTAATCTAAATGAAAAGTCTAAACCAGGCAAAACAGAGCTAAGAAAGAGCCAGCCAGGTGCATTATAAGCAAACTAACACCCTGGTCTCACCTCCTGCATAGCACCGTCTCACTCCTGTTGACGGTGTTGTAATGTATGTTTGCACTTCACAACATTTATGAAAGAGGTGAATGTGCCTCGAAACGTTGTGTATGTATTGTCTGGTGTAGGCAGACATTTAGATTAGCTAAAGGGTCTTTATGAAAACTGCAGAATGATCCTAAACTGAAATGAAAAGAACAGTTTATCTGACACTTAACTCCCACCTGTGATCTTAGTGTTTTCATGTCTGTAAGAGTTTGCTCAGCTTTTGCAGCAACAAGGCCTAGTGGGCCCTTCAGAAGTGGCCTGCATTGTAATAGGCCTATGCTACGGCAGCTTGCTGTTTTGTCAGTCAGAACAAAACCTTCATCCAAATCTCCAAATAAGTAACTTTACAACACAAGGGCTGAATCTCAAATGGCTCCCTACTCTCTGTAAGGTGCGCTGAAAAAGGTTGCTTTAAATTGACATGATTTGATGTACTGGCTCCACATGAATGAAATGTTACATCAGCATATTTACTATGTAACTTCATTAACTTACTTAATTTAAGTTGATGGACATATTTGAATCATGTAAATTCAACTTTTTTTCAGTGTGAATTGAACTGGGTTGAACATTCGTTCATTCAAAGCATATATTTGAGTTGAAAATGAAAACTGGTCATCTTAAGGTTACCATTTTATAGTGTATACTTCCCATCTGTTTTCCATGATCCATTTATGAATACAATTTACCTGCATTTCAGTATTGAATAAAGCTATCATGGGTGTCCATGAGAGAATTCAAGCAAATGCTTTAAGAATTGCATCAAATTCTTGCTATTATGCAAAATTCCATTTTCTAAAATTCTTAATTGGTTCTTAATTGTATCTTAAATTGCATCTTAAATATTCAGTTTATTTGCTCACAGAATGACTGAACTGAGCTGAAATATTAACCGGGCGCAAAAAATCACTAATAATAATGTTGCATTTCAATTCAAACAGCTTTGTGTTAATATATTCCCAAAAGAGCTGAAGTTCTTTTTTATTTGTATGCATTTTTGAAACTACACATTTCAAAATCGCTTCTAAACTAAAAACTGTATGTTCTCAATCCTATTTCAAACTGGTTGAGCTATTTTTAGGTTTCCATTATTTGGAAATACATTATGCACAAAATCTCTTGCAGAGGAACCCAAGCATCCTATCTTGTTACAGGAAAAAAATAAAAGTTACATATGAAAGTTATATATAGAATATAAGGATACAACACTGCATTATCCTGCTCTTGGTAATGTCAGTGAAATCAGCAGCAAAATGCATGTGAGTTAAATAAATAAATATGCAAAGGTAACAACGGTAAAATGCATTCCATTGCTGAGAGTCTCAACCAGGAACTGGTGTCAGTTGTACCCACATTTGTAAAAGAAATAACATGGCAAGTGCAAAGCCAGAAAAATGGCCACATCCCCTGCTGCAAAAACAAGGTGCAGTTTCACGTGTGAAAAAGGATGTCGAGCACTAACATGACACAGACCGTCTTCTTATAAAACGATGATTTCAAACCACAGAGCAAAGAAACCAGGAAACTCAAAAGAAAGCACAACAAAAAGAGGAAAAACTTCATTCAAAACTTCATGCGTTCACTGCACATTCTCTGATCTCAAGAAGGCAGCAGGTCATCACACAGCAGGCTACAAAGTTGTTTTTTAGATGCTAAGCACCTCATGAACACAGCTGGGGGGGCTTTCCTCACAAATTGACCAGCAATGTGACTGACTGTGTTTCTTGAAGGGCGAGACTTTCTCTGCAAACAGATGACACGTTGAATGTCACAAGATTTTCCATTCATATTTCAACCACTGTTCAGTCTCTTTCTTTTTACTGTCGCTGGTAAAACACTCAAAAAACTAAAAAAAGCGTTGTTAAAAGGGAAAGTTATTTTATGGGCATTATATAATGGAAAGAAGGAGCGCTTCCTCTCTGTCATGGAGCTGAGACCACAAGGTCTGGGTTGAAGCCTAGGCAGGTGTGTTTCTGTTGTGGTGAGCACAGACACTTTAATGTCATATTACAGAAGTTAGGGTGCTGCTCCAGATTTCCATGGTGCCACACACTTTCCCTGATTGAGTAAAAATGTACAGCATACCAGTAAACATTCAAGACGGATTCATGTCAACAAAAGACAAAACATTGGAAAAGCATTAGGATGGTGCCTTAGATAATGAGGTACATCCCAAAAGGGAATAAGCTATGCACTGTGGTTTTAGCCACCAGCCCTCTTTCAGTGTTCCACTTTGGAATTCTCTCTTGGAGCAAGTATGCTTTCAGCCAAGAGAGCATAACTGTCAGGTGCTAGATACCTATTTAACTATATTACATCAAGGCGGAACTTCGTTTTGTATCTGTGCATGTGACAATAATACGTTAAGACGTTTGATGTGGTCCGAAAAACTCTAGAAATCTGAAATCTGACCTGAAACCTCTGAATTTTAAATTATTATTTCAGGCTTTGCAGGGTGACTCGCAGCAGCACACACACACACCATATTTTAGTGTTTCGTTTTTTACTTAGAAAGAAACCCAATAATGATAATTCTTTTGATTTTAACATTTGTAAAAGTGCAGCTTTAACAATGCCTTACTCTCCCCTCCCAAAACCTCCACCTATCATGGAGTTAAAAAAAAAAATGCTCAGCTAGCTGTGACGCTTTTGAAAGTGTCAGACACTCACAGAGTAAGCTGCGGTTATCATGTTAAATAAGGGCCAATCCAGAATTGCAGTAAGAAAACAAGCAATGGTCCATACGCAGGCAAATGGGGCAATGAAGGCTAAGCTAAATCAGAATGAAAGAACACGAGCTGGAGGTCTTGGTAATGCACAGTAGACTGATAGGACACTTCGCAATGAGGCTACGGACACAAACAGTTTATAGAGGCAATAGAACAGGTGTCAACAATCAGGTGAACGGGAGTGTGGGTAGGTTTATGGTTGAGAGTCAGGTGAAACCCCAGAGGATTCTGGGAGTTGGAGTTCTGAATGGGGTGAAGAGTGTTAGTCTCTGCTAAGCCGACGGGAGGCATGACACTAGCTTAGAAATCTTCCCTGATGCTTGTTTCATTTAGGTAATATGCCATAGTGCATATCAAAACTGTGTTATGTATTATCTAGAAATAATGATGCTAAGCTCACACCAATCTCAAAATGAAGAATATTAGGTATATTGACTAGATTTAAGATCATTTCACTTGCCAAAGTCACAATTTTTGCAGTGACAGCAGTAGGATTATATTTTTACATTGGTTATCTTGTGAAATAACTCAGTATCTCAAGAAAACACAAAGTTGCTACCAAAAATGTCTTGTCACAGGCCAGAGAATAGTGAATGTGGTCTTTTAGGTCTGTAGAAAAGCAAGTAAGTCACAAAATCAGACTGAAAACTCATTCAACACTATAAAAATACAGGTGTTTCAGATCACATATGCTGGAGTACAGAACAACAAAAATTACTTACGGTCTGCACTGTGCTTGTTGAAAAGGTGTAAGTTACTGCAGGCAGTCTTATAGCTGGCATTTCTTCTACCTGAAAAAATGATAGTGAAGCAAATGCCAAATACAGTATACACAAAAAGTACACCCCTGGTCAATATATCAAATGGCATAAACTAGGATTTTATTAAAATAAATCAACATTCATTTTAATTTATGATTAGACAGGTTAGACAGACCATACTGAAATTACTGAGAAACTAAACCAAAAGTGAGTGCACCTGTGATGCAGTCTATTTCAAATTAAATTGATTTAAAATTTAAATTTTTAAGCCCTGTTAGCCCCTTTGACCAAAATATTTATGGCTAGAAAACCAGCTACTAAAATCTGAATTTTCTCAATTTTGGTGTCTTATGGACGGTGTAATCCTTCATAGCTCAATATGGCAAGGAAGTTACAGAAAAAAGTAGTAGATAGTACAACCATACAAAGATAGAAAAGGGTACTAAAACATTGGTTAACTAATACTAAACTAAACTAACATGAGCTGTAACACAGATGCAGCAGTTTTTAGTATTGAAATAGCCACACTATCAGTTATCAAAGGCACAGAGGTAACATGTGTTTAGGACTAGGTTAGGTGGATTCACACACTTCCACTGTACACACTCTATCCACTGTTCACAGAGAATGAGAATATATAGGAAATAAAGAACAGGGATGTGAAACAAACTGACAACAACTAATAAAGTTCTTCATTATTATTTCTTTGCGATGAATATGATAAAAGTCAATGTGTCATCCCCATTTAGCTAAATCTGTGTAATTAGTCTAAACATTCTCTCCAGCCACAATTTCACAAAGCAGTCCTGTTTCTTGGAGCTGAACTGAACTGAAGACAAAAGTAAGAGATTTTAAAACCCTTAAAATCCCAGGTTTATTACATACATCATCTAAACCACTTATCCTACTGGGTCGCGGTGGGGTGCTGGAGCCTATCCCAGCTGTCATTGGGCGGAAGGCAGGATACACCCTGGACAGGTCGCCAGTCCATCGCAGGGCAGACA